AGCCCCGCGCCCCCCCCGGCGGCGGCGGCCGAGGGGAAGCTTGCGGGAAAAGGATGGTGGCAGCTCCGCTTGCCAGAGCCATGCTCGCAGCCACGGCTCTGCGCGTTCCAGCTGCCCTCTAAGCACAGAGGAGAGGTACTGGTGCCCCCGAACCCATCGTGAAAGGGACCTTGGGACCGTCTCTACCTCCCCATCTTCACTGGGTCTGATGAGCACCCTCCCGCAGACCTTGGGCTGCGGCGGGAGGCACCACGCCGGGGTTATGGGCACTGAGTGCCGAAGCGAGAGGGGCACCGCGGTGGGAGCACAAAGCCTGGCTCAGTCCGGTGCTGGAGCAGCAACACCGAGCTGACTGCCAGCCCCGCGTCCAGCTCAGGCTGACACCATGCTCCCGTCCCCACTCAGCCCCGGCCACCCCGCATCCTTCCTCCTGGCACAGCAGTTCCTCTTCCTCCTGCACCCCGACCCCGCAGCCCGTCCCGTGCCAGTCCACGGGTGAAGGCGAACACCGGTCCCAGCACTGGGACCAGCCGTGCTGCAGGGACGCTCTCCCCTTCCCACAGCCCCGCTCAGGCTCCCGTCCCAGGGAGGATGCCGCAGGCTCAGGCAGGACCAGGACATCGCTTCGGGTGCTGCCGGGGTGAGCCATTGCCTCTCCCGGGAAGGCCACACGGATAAGGGGACAACAGGGAGCGTTCATTTTCCCTCTGCCCCACCCCGATATTACCTTGGAGATATAGGTCAGCTGCAGCGATCCGACAGCACCCGCACCGATGGCCAGGTTCTGCAAAACATTTAATGAGCGATGGGAGTTAAATGACAGGGAGAAGGCAAAAGAGGCGAGCCAGGCTGTCATTTAGTGTCACTGGGGTCAGGCAGCAAAAGCAACAGCCATGCTGCCGGCCTCGGCCGCTTCCCTCCTCGGCACACCTGGTTCACCTCGCACCCTACCAGCAGCTGGGACCAGCCACGCTGTGCTGCACCCAAACGCCGTGCCCTCCTCGGTCCTGCTCACCGCCCCGTGCAGCGGCACCTCAGGTGCGAGACGGGCTCCGACTCCCGCCTCGCGTAGCCCAGAGAGCAGGAGGCTGTGCTAACACCGGCCAGGAGGCCGCGAGCGGGCGGCCGCGCGCTTCCCCTTCCCCTTTTAACAAGGCAATGCAGAATCTGCTGCAAGATGCTCTTCAGGAAGGCAGGTGCCTCCCCAGCCTACAAGCAGTGCCTGAGCACCGTGGGGTTTCCAGGAGGGTCTTCCTAGAGCTCAGCTTTGGCTTTTGCTCTTTTGAGCTTGACCGCAAGCGCTGGGGCAGCTCCCAGAGACATCGGGCATGACACGCACAGACTCCATCTCCCCCAGCTGCCTGGCTCCTGGTCTAAGTGCTTTCGCTGCATGACACCGCTTCCAAGATGACAAGCATTTCTAGGATAACCTCTTCTCTTGTTATCGCTGTCTCTAAGCTAAGACACAAGGGAGAGGTAACACCTCCCACGGGCACAGCATTTCTATAGGCTCCTCCAGGCTACCAGTGGCTCCTGGTGGGGTAAGCTGCTGCTGGGGCACTCCCGAAACCCGCAGAAGTCGCGTCGGGGCTGCTCTGCTGCTCTGCTGGAGCTTGGTCGTGGCTGCACACAGCCAGGGGAGACCCCCGCAGACAACCAAGGCAGCAGACAGCATCCTCCTTCGGAGACCCGGCCTCCGCCAGGGCAGCCCAGCGGGGAGCCTGAGATGCAGCTGAAGACTCGCTAACGACTTCCACGGAGGTGCCCAGCGTGAAGCTGGGAGCAGCACGGGAACCTACCTGAGGGTTGTCCATGTACCACAGGAGGCAGTTGGCCTGGGTGTCCAGGATGAAATACCTCCGCAGAAACTTGCCACAGGTCTCATTTTCTTCAATGTCCAGGAACCCGCAGATACGGTTCTGTCGATCCAAGTACGGCATGCCGGGCTCCTTCTCGCATCACCCTGCGGAGAAGGGACAGGCAGGGAGAGGTGGGTGCTCTGCTCCCGCAGCCCCAGCTCCCCAGGGGAGCTCCTCCTGCACCTACAGCCATCTCAACCCATCACAGCCACAGGCGCCGGGATGCCAGGACAGTTGCTCAGCCCCCATCTGAGCTCGCAAGAGGGAGAGGGAAGGCACAACCTGCCAGGGCTGACCCAAACGAGCACGTTAGCTGCTTCCCCTTGCTGAAAAATGAGGTGTTTGCATAAAGGCGTTCCTCCCCGCAGAGGTCCACGTCGCTCCCCAGCCCCGAGAGCCGCCAACCCCACCGTGTCAGGAAGCTCAAGAGGTGTGAAAGCCCGCATGGCGCTTGGCGGAGGGTCTGGGGCTTCACTCCTCGTCCAGCTCCCCCTCCGCATCATGCCCCACGGTCGCCGGCTGAGCTTCCTGCAGGTCCAGTTTCCCAACCTGCCCAAACCTCCTGCTGCCTCTCCCAGGCCTCCCCAGCCCACGGCTTAACACACGGAAAGCAAAGTCAAACGGCCACCACCGCGCGTTCGCACTACGGGGAAGCTGCCAAACGCGAGCGTCACCCAGCACGCCTTTGCGAGAAGAAGGGGTGCCAACATGCCGGCCCCGGGCGCAGGGCAGATCAGACCAGCGAGCAGGACCAAAATAGCTCAGCGAGGAACCGCAGGGCTTTGGAAACCTGGGAGCTGCAGATGGACTCAATCACCGCACGCTGCTGAACAAACGCTCGCCGGCCTGGCTCCGAGCCTGCTCATGGCACAGGGCAGCACCACGGCCACCGGCACATCCCAGGGCAGCGAGAGACCGACGCCGAGTGACAGCCCTGGGCCCCAAACTGCCCCTGTCACAGCGGTGGTCGCATCCCACCGAGCTGCCCTCCAGAGAGCTCAGCAGCGTGGGACAGCCCCGTGCCACAGCTCGGCCCACCGAGAGAGGACAAACCAGCCACAAAGGATTTGATGTGAGACACCAGGTCCCTGGGAACCGTAATAAAAAATAACCCCGAAGCGGACTGCGCGCTAGAGAGAGCCCGAGCACACTCCCAGGAAATGGAAAACAATCTGCAAATCCAGCAGAAAATCTGTGCAGCCAGGATGCCGAGTCAGCAGGGAAAACAATGACCCATCGCCGCGGGGCCAAGCCGTGTCACCAGGTCTGCCGTGGGCACGGACCCTCCCTGGCGCTGTCCCCCAGCCGGGGCGAGCCAGGGGGTCACCTCCGAGCTCACCTTGGCCGCAGCAGCTGCAGAGGAGCGGAGCTGGGCTGTGACACCGACCTCCCAGGCAGCCACGGCACAAACCCCCTCTGCAGAAGCAGGGAGAAACACCGTGCCCAGCCTGCCACAACACGGGCACGGGGCACAACGGCCCTGAGCAGCCAGACTGGAGAGCACGGCAGCCGCGGTGCCCGTAAATAGGCTTTGCTTGCGTCCCCCGTGGGTGCAAGACGCGGGGGAGCCCGAGCATCGCTCTCGGTCACCCTGCAGGAGTGGCAGCAGCCGCTTTGAGTCAGCAGGAGTGGGCGCACGTTGCCACCGCTTTAATTTGGTGGCAGCTCCCACCCACCTTGCACAGCAGAGCTGGCTGCAGAGCCACGGTGAGGGGAGCCCCTCAGCACCCCTGCAACGGGGCTGCCCCGGCAGGCTGCGTCTCTGCACCGTCACTTCCAGCCCCACGGAGGGAGCGAAAGCAGCACCAAGAGCCGCGGGCGGGCAGGACACATCCCTCCGCCCGGGCAGAGCCCCCTCGCCACGGCCCGGGTGGACGGGCAGGGACGGAGACAGCGGTTACCGAAAGGACGCGAGCTGAACCTGGTGCGGTTTGTCCGGTAGAAGAGGGGTGACTCACGCAGGTGCCAGAAGTGGAGGCTGCACAAATAAAAGATCTCATGCAGAAAAGGAGGAAATACTATTTTTGAGCTGAATAGCTGCAGTGGAGCGGGGCCCTGAGAGGCAAGTGTTGTGCAAGAGTTGTGGTGCAGCTGCAAAGGTAGAGGTGGCAGAAAACAAGTCAACCTGCTGTTAGGATCTCGGAGTTTATCATCACCAGCGTCTCAGAGATGGGTATCAGGGCTTTGCTAAGAGGGAAATCATACTGAAGCAGTAGAAGAGATGGTTTTAAAACAACACGTTTGCCGTGATGCAAGGGTTATGTGGGCACTTCACATTTTACTGCTTTTTTGTGGGGTTATTTTTGTGGGCGGGGGGAAGCACACAGAAAGCAGATTCCCCAGTGCCTTCAACCATACCGACACGTTCAGACCAGGCCTCATAAATTACCTCTTCCTCCTGCTGCTAACAAAAGTCCAGAGATTTCTGCTTATGAGAGGGATGAGAAAGCCGAGGTGTGCCGCAGGCAGCGCCGGGACGAGCCCCCAGCCCCTCGGGACACCTCCTGGGACTCCCTACGTTCCCACCCTGCCATCCTTAGTTAATTTGGGCTCGGCTGAAAGCCCACAAACCAGCTCAACTCTTCTGTGCGAGCTGCCCTCGGATTGCACTTGGATATGCAAAAAAAAACCTTTGGACAAAGGAGACCGCAACTGCTCCCGTCTCTGCCCTCCGGACCGGGCTCCCCGCAGCCAGCCAGGCTCCCCGTCCCCTCACACCCCACTGCCTGCGGGACGCAAACCGTCTCTCTCCTTGCAGCCACTGAGAATTGCGCTTTTCCATAGGAAAAGGATAAAAGTAGCACCCCCAGCGCGTGGGTATTTGGTCCCCCTGCTCAGGAACTCCGGGAGGGCTCAGTTTGCACTAACGTTTACTATTTATACAGCACTTCGTAAACTCAAAGTCTAAATATTTTTTTATGCGAGACCCAAACTTGTGTTTGCTGTAGGAAGGACAGAAGATGAAATCTGAGGGTGAGGATAAGAGGGACTGAAGGTGAGAAGGACCTCACGGAAAACCGGCACCATTTAAAAGTCCGGATAAGTCCCTGAAGGCCTCGCAGTGAGGAGGCACTTCAGCTTCAGAGGACAACCTTCGTGGAAACACGACGGACATCACCCTGGCACTGGGCATGGGCAGCTGCGATTTACAGCCGATGCCCGCACCCCGTTCGTGGAGGCTGATCTGCCATCCAGCGACGACCTGAACTTCCCAAGCATCGCGCCGCATCAGGCCCTCACGATCCCTTTTAGGAATTTATGCCATAATATCCCACCATAATATCAGTCTCAATATCCCACCAAGAACAACCACCCTTTTCTGGCTCAGTTAATGAGATGACAAGAGGAATTAGGCTAGAGAAGATTTACAGCAAAAATGCCCTCTCGCCTGCCTCCCGAGACACAGGTAAGCGCTTCCCAGGAGGAGGCGGAAGGTGCAGGGCAGCGTCCAAACGGCACCCAAGCCCCTCTCTGCGGTCACTGCTGGCTCAAAGGCCTCGTGTGCAGCCACACAGCCAGACTTTCCGGGAAGCACCCCCAGGACGCCAGCGCTTCCCTGCGCCGTCACGGCTGCCCGTGCCCTGCTCTGTCCTGCTCCTGGCACTTGCTGCGCCGCTACAGCCACGGGAGCACGACCACGGAAAGCCACAGCGGAAAAAGCCGAGGCAACGGGAGACCTGGCATTCAGAGCATCGCAGCAGCGCTGGCCGGAGGCATCTCCTCAGCACCTCGCTCCACAGCACGGCCCGTTGCACCTGCAGGCAGTCACAGCATCCTCCTCCTCCTCTCTCACGCCTGTCTGTCCCAGCCGCCCTGGTGCCGTTTGCGGCGCGGGGTCACCACCCTCATTGCACGAGGGCTCCAAGCTGCGACGCCCGCTGCCCCCGTGCAGCTCCCGGACAGCCCCGGCCGCGCGGGGCGACGGCTGTGAGCAGCAGCGGTTGCCGCAGCGGTTGCAGCAGTACTTCCTTTTACCTGGCCTTGCAAAGGAGTTTCCAGAGTTTGCCCTGCCGACGTCTATCCGGCGGCTGACACACGAGACAGATGGTGTAGGCAGAGCCCAGCAACTAACTCCTGCTAATTCCAGACATTTGCCTTAACGAAGTAATTAACCTGTTGAAAGGCAGGCTGGGAGCAGCCAGGATCCATTTCTTCATCTCACCACAGAAAAACAGTCAGGGGAACGCACTCCGAAGAGCTGCGGATCCCAAACCGTCCCCGCACGTTTGCTACCAACCCCACAGACCCAGGGATGAAAGCGTGCAGCACCCCCAAATCTCCCACAGGGACCCCGTTCCCAAAACCCCAGGCCATCCCGGCAGGAGCGGCCCTCACCACCTCCAGCTCCCTCCGTCCCCGCAAGCAATAACGTGCAGAAGGCACTCGCACCGCGGCGGGGAGGCCTCTTCCCACCCACTCCCACGGATGCTTCCAGCCGCTGAGCCAGGAGTTTCTGCCGCATCCCTGGACCCAGGGACCGGTCCCACCAAGGCTGCTCCCCCTCGGGGCCGGGCCGCCGGCTGCCCGCAGGCACAGCCGCCCCCCCGCGCCCGGGGCC